GGCTTCGGCCTGCCGACGCGATCGTGTCTGGTTTGCTTTCATATGATGACATTTTCCTGACAGAAGGGTGTCGGGAAAAACACCTCGCGCTGATCATACGTGACAAAATCCGCCGCGCCTAAGCTAATGAAGAAAAGTCTCCTGGAAGGCTCCATACAATTCCTTATAACAAAATTATAAGGAATTGTATGGAGCCTTCCTGGATACTTACAGTGCAAGCCCTTTGTGTCTCCTCATGATCACGTGAATGACACTCCAGGACCTCCAGTAAGTAAAAGTGGAAGTTTCACGTCCGGCCGGTTTCTAGGAAATTTCATTTTTATTTTGCATTTGCGTTTTTCTATCGCCATTTACATTTTCTGAGAGTTTTTTGTTTTGGATTTGCATTTGCGTTTGCATTTTATTTGCCTTTCTTTTTAGTTTATATGAGCATTTTCACGTCTGTTTGTTTTTTTGTTGTTTGTTTTTATCTGCATTTCATCAACACTTTAAGTAACCTTACCTTGAGGTTTAGATTTCAACTTATCGCCATTGTGACCATTGGCTGAATACGAGCTGAATACCGGTACAATAAAAATAGCCTGCATAACATAACGTAGGGGTTTTGCAGAGGGCGCAGAAACAAGCAAGATGGTAGCCTAAGTAGCTGGCGGGATAAGCGTGGAAGTGCTGTATTGTTTTAGCGGCGGAACCGCGAAAAGGGTGGGTATACAGGCCAATTTGAAGTCCCGTAAGCCTGGCTGCGGACTATTCAAAATACCCAAGAGTTGTGGCAGACGGGACTTCAAATTGACTTGTATGCTCACCCTACTCGCGGTTCCGCCGCCTCCGACGCTTATCCCGCCAGCCACGCAGGCTACAATTCTTGGGTATTTTGAATAGTCCTCAGCCAGGCTTAGGGGAGTTTCTAATTGGCTGAGAAGCGATAAAACATCGAGGAACAAGCCCTAGCTACCCGCACGCGAACTGTACCTCTTTGCCGGTTACGTTACATTGACGACACATTCACCGCCGTACACAAAGACGGAATGGACGATTAACAGACAGAACGTAGACATACAGTTCACCAAGGAGATCGAAGAAAATGGTAAGATACCTTTTCTAGACTGCTTGGTCACTCGCGACAACAACAAACTAAAAACGGCTATTTACAGAAAACCGACACATACCGACCGATTACTCCCAGGGGGGGTACTCGGGATTTCAAGTGACGGGGATGATCGAATGGAGCCAAAAGTCAAGACCCAAAAAAATCCCTAGGGGCTTCCAGCAAAACCCAAAAAAATCCCTGGACCAAAAATTAACCCCCCAAAAATACTTTATTCGCAGAACTAAGCAGCCAGGGCACTACCGATTCTTTTTAATACCCCCAAAAGGTCTCTACTCAAATCAAGCTACCCAAAAAAATACTTGCCAAATTTTCGTACCCAAAAAAATCCCGGAATCGAAAATTTCAAACCCAAAAAAATCCTTCGATCATCCCCGTCACTTGAAATCCCGAGTACCCCCCTCTTCGTACAACCCGACCTCTCACAAGGTTACTACTATCCGGACTTTGACGAGACGAGCGCAACTAGTTTGCGACTCACCTGACAGCCAACAAAGACGAGACTGATTATCTTAACAACGTTTTAGTAAGAACAATTACAACACGGACTTTGTTAGACGGAACACTCACAGTAACACTGATTCCAACACTCAGACCAACTCTGGCCCTGTTACGACAGTGACTATACCGTACATCAGAGGCACCTCTGAACCTATTGCACGTATATTATACGTGTTGCACATAAACCGATAACCACTTTACGGCGACTGCTTACTAGCGTCAAGGACAAAGACAAACCGGAGGATAGACAGGGAGCAGAGTACAAGATCGAATGCTGCGACTGTCAGGCTTCTTACATTGGTGAAACCGGCAGAAACCTAAGCACGCGACTGACCGAACACAAACGAGCGACGAGGAATGGTGACGTCAACAATCACATTGCTGAGCATCATTTGCGACATGTATAACGTATTCTACAGACCGCTATCAACGTCTTACTTTAGAAAGCTGGTTTACTAACTTAGAACAAACGCCACTGAATCGTAGCCAACAGTTACCAGCGCCGTACAAACGACTTATTGACGAGATCAAGCAGAACTACCGTAAAATTCCGAAAATAAGCCCCTCCATGTATAAGCCCCTCCAAATATAAGCCCCCCCCCCCCCAATCCGGTAACGCAAAAAACCCTCCGTTAAATCGTCCCTCTAAATATAAGCCCCCCGAAGGCTTGTACTTGGAAAATTGCCCTCAGATACAAGGTAAAACAAAGCAAAAACGGTAAATTTCCTTCCAACCCTAAGGCTAACCCAATCGATTTTGAAACGCAGATTTCCCTCCGAAGATAAGCCCCTCCGAATTTAAGCCCCTCCAAAAATAAGCCCCTCAAAAAGGGCCTTTGAAAAATATAAGCCCCGGGGCTTATGTTCGGAATTTTACTGTCACTACGAGAGAACGACGGGAGAACTGACCATTTGACTAACAATAGACGACTGTTAACTGTGACAATAGACGGATCGAAACGCACCAAAAAAATAGCCAATAACCCGACGACCAATAACATCGCAACGTAATTGACCAATCAGATCAATAACCAGAGTATAATACCATCCACTGGCGTAAGACAACTCACTTTGACTCTGAAGATGACTACCGCACAGGTTGTCGAAACATCAGTCACTGTCAACAACAACAGTCCTATTCAGGAGTACGTTCACCCGGACGATCAAACTCAACCTACTTTTGAAATGACTCCTGGGTTCAAACCTTTCACAATCAAATGATAATTAATATCTCTTCTATCTCCCAAGGGAAAGTTTGTGCGTTCACATGAAAATGAATCAAATTTAGCCCCCCCCCCCCGGGGGGTACTCCCTTTTATAAGCTATATAGGTATGTGCCGCCCCATCGGGTCGGGTTTTTGCGCCGTTTTGGTCTGAAAACGGGTATATACTTTGCCTGTTTTGGTCTAGAATCGGGTATGGTTTTCGAGGGTATTCCGGGAGTGTATGAACGTAACTATTTATCGTTTCAGTCCAAATGAATAAGAACGAAGTAGAAATATACGAATTCGAAATGCATTGGAAGAATTTTTTTGTTTGCACACTGAATCTAAGTATGATGACGTAATTTTTGCCTTAAGGCCAGGTCTGAAAACAGGTATAGATTTTGGAGTTCTGGTTTGAAGACAAGTCTGTGAAGTGACATTTTTTGGTCTGAAATAGGGTCAGGATTTGGAGAACCGGGCGGCACACCCCCACCAAGAATTCCCAGGAGTATCCCCCCCCCGGGAATTTAGCAAGCTATAAACGGGCTCCACTCCACTCCACTCCAAAGTAAGATTTCCCCTTGAAAGAAATCCTCGAAAGGCCTTTTTGTTGAGGAAAATAAATCTCAAAATTTAAGACAGGTCTTAAAGAAACTAATCTCTTTTTACGACGGGAAATTGGCTGTAAAACAAAAGCGCATCAGGCAATAATGCCTTTTGTCACGCAGTGCAAACTCCCTGATCCATCCGAGCTCAACATCAAAAGAGTGCTTGATCATTTAAAACTTAAACCTTAGAAATACGGGTGGAGTATGCTATGGTGATTCTTGTTTTTGACTGAGCAAATGTTATCTTTGCCGATTGAGAGGTGAATTCCAGTATTGACTTCCTGTGGGATTTGTTTTGGCTGCGCAAAAAATGGAACCAGAGCCACCCAATCAATGTCTTTGACTCTCTTTCCTCGCTCTTTGCTCCGAAACAGCACGGAAACACTTGCTACGCAGGCTAATACAGCGACGGAACGGTTCCATCGTGATATGAAAATACTCATGTTTAGCTTGTCGTTTGTTTGTTTATCATTCACTATTTTAAATACTTTAGAAAAATACTTATTAAAATTTTAGATATAATTGATGATAATCAGATCGATATGATCTTTTTTTTGCAATTATTGTAACTAGCAACTAGACAACCTCGTCCCCAGGGCGCTTTTCCCTGGCTTTTGGAAGCAATTTGCGAAGGGTGCTTCACGCGTTTTGATCAGATTTTTACAGATTTCCTATATAAAATATGGCATTTGCAGCTTATTTGCGGTAAAATGCAATATTGGTGTTGTCCCGGGGTAGGGCATTTACACACTTTTTGAAACCCCACCGTGGGGTTTTTGTATGGACCACCCGGCCCCTGACTCGTCGCCAGTCGTCTCCCACTATCACTCCCTTGTGCACGCGGGGTGGGGTGTGATGGGAAGGAGGAAAGCGATCACCCCCTCCCCCCGCCCTCATACTAAGTAGAACAAATTGGATCTTTTTTACCCGAAAACTCAGCTTTTATTTAGCTTTTCGCTTGAACCACCAAATTCTACAAAATTTAACTTTTCATTTTTCATTACTTTGGTTATACCAGGTCAAGTTTTTTGATTTACAAAATAGGTAACTTTTTTATTTTACCTATTTATTTATTTATTTGGGTACTGAGAAGTATCATAGAAGGCACTAAGAGTAATTCAATGCTTAAAAACAATCATTTTAAACAATTTTGTGAAAATTCAATCGCAGGATATGAATTTTGGTTAAGGTCTCCTTTTAGTGGACAGGAAGGATTTTCAACGCATCCAGTTGACACTGTCTTTGGTGGCAGGACCAGGTCCAGCGGCAGGTGTAAAGATCTCCTTCTTTCCTCCTCCTTCCAGCACCAGGGTCTCTCCTTCCCGTCTGAGTGAAGTCAGACCTTCCAGGATGGAGGTTACCTCACGCTCCAGCTCAAAGAGCTCTGGAGGCGGCATCATCTTCGTCGTTGTAACTTGTCCAGACACAAGTTTACCATCTGCACCCTGAGTTACATTGCAAGATATAATGTTGGCCACCTCGGCTGCAATGTCCCAGGCTGCATCTCCTGTTTTCTCAATCATCAGCTTGAACCTCCCCTGCCAGTCTCCCTCCACCCCTTGTCTTGGAGTGGGAACAAGCTGGAAAGCATCCAGGCTAGAAGTAGCAGTCTCAGAGATTGTCACACCCTGTCCTGCTTCATCCATGGAAACCGCTGGACGGAACTCCATGCCACTGTAGCCAGAAATATCAAATGCCACTCCCAATCCACTTCCATTTTTAGAGAATGCCAACACTGTTTTGTCACCAGTCTGCTCCAACCGCATTCCAATGACATCACCATCACCAAACTTAGGTCCCCAGCTACTGGTCACCAGGCTACTGCCATCACTCAAGTTGCCCGGCCCACCATAGAACAATCCCTTCATCCCCCAACCAGCCGCAAACTTATCCTCAGCAGTAACTCCCACCCAGGTTCCGGAACTTCCAGTTACTTTAAACTCCCAACTTCCAGTTCCGCCTTGACTCCAGATAGCATTCCCCTTGGAGTTTCCACTCCCAGTGAAGCTAACTTTTGCTCCAGAAACTGTCAGGTTACCAGATCCATCATCTCTCCACACCATATTGTTGAACTGATACTAGCTTGTTTCACCTGTGTTAAAGTAAGTAGAGATTATAAGGCTACACTTCTAGAATAAGGTTTATAATTGAATAGGCCTCCTTGCGAAATGTCCCTGCAAAAAGGAAGAGAGCGTGGGGACATTTTTGCATGGAGCCCTTCAGTTACAATAATAATTATTACTATTGATCTTTATTAAAATGAGTTTTTTTTTCAGTTGGTGATGCCATCTTTTATTTTGAAAAACCACCGAACACATTCGCATTGCATTTAGAGTTCAAGAATTTATCCTCGAGTATGATAATTATTTTTCATAGGTTCAAGATGTCATCTTTTTTTTGTTCCACATAAAAATTGGTGTTTGGAAAAAAATGGATCACCAATAAACACCCATTGAAATTGAAATCTTGTGTTTAAATAAATCAAATAAGCCCACAAAATCAGCTAGCTTGTGTAGCTGGCGGGTTTGTTATCCGCTGGGTATTTTAATTATTAATTAATTAATAATTAAAAGTTATGCAAATAAAGTGAGACCATTAATGTAAATTTTGACAAGACAAATATTTTTGTTTCCCCTAGAAGTTTACTATTCATGTGGTAGCCTTTTTAAAAAAATTTCAGTATAATTAAATTTTCCCTCTTAACCAACAGTACCATCAGGTTAAGCAGAAAAAAATTATCTTTGTCTTGGCAGAAATACACATAAAAAGTAAGAAGACTGTATAGCAATGTTCTTTGTGACTTTTTCCCTTAGATCTATACTGTTTGTACTGTGGCATTTCAATAATTTTTTATGCATTTAAACCATTACAGGGTGCTTGCCATTTTGCCAATCCAGCTGGTCAGATACTAGGAGAACTATCCAAGATAGATAGATAGATACTTTATTATAAACACCATTGCAGCCATAGGCTGAATTACGGGATATTTACAAATACTGATGATAACAAAGAGAAAATAAGAAAAATTATCTACATCTTATAGACATGGCTAAAAATAAAACTTTTCTTCAAACGCTCGGTTTTACATAGGGGGAGAGTGAAATCACTTTTGCGTCTCAGAGCATATTTACAACTCTTCCTTTGGGGGAGGAGGCTATGGAGACTGTGGGTGGGGTTACAGACAATCTCGTCAAACAGATCGATTGAAATCTTTTCTCTCCTCTCATGAAGTTTCGGTAGGCCAACTGTTTCTAGTGCTACACTATATGACAGGTCAGGATGGATGATTCTGAAAGCCCTTCTTTGGATCCGTTCCAAATCTTCACCGATGTAGTTTGGTAGAGAACGATGGAATACAGGACTTGCGTATTCCAGGACGGGCCTAATACATGTCACAGAGAATTGCACCAGTTCACTTGGTGCCACTCCGGATCTCTTGAGTTGACGTAAAAAATAGAGACGAGAGTGAAAATGTAATGACACTGTTCAATTGCAGTAAAGTTTCCAACTCAAAGTTTTCTTTATACCAAAATTCTGATCATTACTTTTAACCCTTTAAGCCCTAAGAGTGATCAGCATCAAATTTCTCCTTGTAATATCAATGCTTTGTAAAACAGAGTGGTCATGAGAATTATGGACATGATCACACAAGATGAATTTGCTTGATATTTTATAACCTTCTCCCCACTACTTCTGTAGAAAATGAATAGGGACAACATGAGAATTCAAATTTTGATCTTAGGGTTTAAAGGGTTAACAAAAGTAAGACTCGAAAATTATGAGAAATTTGAGAAATGGAAATGGACTTAAGTGTTAACTGGCCAGCCAACAACACTGACTGACCCAGTCTAAATAAAGGACTCTGGATCAGCTGGATCACATTTTCTGGAGAATTCTTACCAGCTGCACATTCGACCAAAATTTCCAGCATTATATAATTTTTTTTTATCCCTTTTTCTTCTCATAAGATACAAGTTTGCATCTTGTTATAATATTTTGATATGCGGATGAGCCTCCATGTGCAAATGCCACAATATTACTGACTCCTCCCAAAAGTGACCAAAAATTGCACCCTTTGAAAACACCACAGTTTTCTAAGTCTAAGCCAATGTTGTAAACTCTAATAAACCACAATTAAATCATTAATTCTCAAAATTATGCATGCTGCTTATGCTTTCATATTGAAAACTACCACTGAATACATGCAAACACCAGTGACACAATTTGATGCAAGGGATTATCTGAAGGGTGTGTCTAAAACATCAAATTTACCAAATTAAGGCTGAGCCGTAAACAGTCATAAACAGGCCTTCAGCTGGCAATGTGAGACTTCAATATCTTTATTAGGCAGTCATGGTTAACTCGAAACTAAAACGTTTGTCAAAATTACGAAATAAAGTTTTGTCATATTTGTCTTCTTTTTTTTTCATATGATTCTTCTTTAATATATTATACTGGCCTTAGGCTCACAGGTTAAAATCTCTGCTTGTTCCTAGAATTTTGGAGTGGGGATAAGCTTGATATAGAGTGATCCTATCATTCAGAAATTAGGTTCATGTCAACCAGTACAAGAAAAATATGACAAAGAAAGGAAGCATATTCAAAACGTTTTAGGTTTGAAAGAGCCCAAGAGCCATCATGTGTCTCCTTTTAGCCCTTAACTGAACTGACTGAAAAACACTGCAACCTAAGGTCCTTAAGGCATCCCAGAACTCAAGGCCCCACATAAATTCTGCACGATGTGTTCTCCCCAAGCATGTTTCCAGCTATAGCCATGAAATGTAAATGTTGTATTGTACGTACCTCTTCGTGTAGCAAAAAAAACACGTACAGCCTTCTGTAGTAGGTCTGGGCCTCTTCAGCTGTGTTTATATCTGCACAAGCTGAGCTGAAATATGAAATAAAAAGTAGACGGCGCAGTTTTTACAGCATGCACGGGCAGCCCAAGTTCTATGCATAAATTACCTGATGTTTTGATAATAATTCAATTTGCATAACAAGTTACAGCCTATTGTACTCTCTTGCTATCAGACACATGATACAGAGAAACTAGTGTAAGTGTAGAAATAAACTTCACCTTTCTCAACTTAATTGGGTTTGAAAAAATCAAGCCACAGTGTAGCTGGCAGGTTTGTTATGCGCTGGGTATTTTCTTTATGCAAGAGTTTGACTTTTAATTGCTTCAATCCAAACTTTTTGTGGCTTTGCTGCCAAAAAACAACAACACTCCCTGCTAACCCCACCAGCTACACAAGCTGGCTTCAACTGAATAAAATGGAATCAACTAAAAACATTAAGGCCAGCTGGTTTTCACTTACTGTAATTAAAAGTTATGCATATGCAAGACCATGGTAACTGTTGACAAGATAAATATTATTTTTTTGCCTAGAAGTTAATTATTCATGTAGTAACCTTTTTAGACATTTCAGTAATCAATTATAATTATTTTCCCTCTTAACCATCAGTACCATCAGGATCAGCAGAAAAAAAAATCATCTTTGTCTCTGCAGAATTATATAAAGAGTAAGAAAACAATATAGCAGTGTCCTTTCTGCCTAATCCCCTTCCATACTGTTTGCCCTGTAACATTCCAAACATATATCCTTATACATTTAACCATTATAGGATTCTTGCCATTTTTTGCCAAATCAGCTGGTCAGAAACCAGTGGATCTATCCAAGTAAAAACATAATAATTGAGGCAAAGTTTCCAACTGGGTCAAAACATTCTGATTACTTTTCACAAAAGTGAGACTGTAAAATTATAAGAAATTTGGGAAGTGGAATATGGTAAGCATAATTTATTTGGCCAGACAAGACTAGCCGACTGGCATGGTCAGAGTAAATTGGATCAACTGAGTGGAGGTGGAGGTGGATCAGTTGTTCTGGAAAATTTTCACCTGCCGCTGGACATTGACCAAAATTTTCAGCAGAGATTACAGCATCCATAAACTGAACATATCCCCTTTATTCTTCTCATAAGTAACAAGTTTCCATCTTGTTACTGTATAATATTTTGATATACGGATGATCCTACACGTGCAAACACCTTTTCATTGACAAACTCCTCCCAAAATTGACCGCCTTGAAAACATCACAAATTTCCCAGTCTAAACCAGAGGTGGAACCTGGGGGGGGGAGGGGGGTGGTACTGCCATATTATATGGGCTATATAGGTATGTGCCACTGCGAAGGGTATGGTTTTCAAGCAATTTACTCTAGGATAGGGTATATAAATCAGAGCATTTCGGTCTAGAATAGGGTATCATTTTGGAGGAAACTGATCAGTTGGTTGAAGATTTTATCTAGACTAGGGATTGTGGTATAAGGTTTTGTTTAGGCTAGACTGTGCTAGTGACCTCAGTACTTTCTCGAAAACAGCTACTCTAGGTTAGGGGGGATTTGGGGAGTTTACTCTGGTATAGGGTAGCAAAATTCAGCTGAACTAGCTCTGGCATAGGTTAAGGGTTTCAGGGTCCCAGCGGCACATCCCGACTGAGAAATTGGTAACGGACCAGCGGTGGCTAAATCCGGATCTATCCAGCCCTGTCCTGTACCTTGATTGCGTTTTTTGGAATATGCTAACTAGCGCAATTTTTACATGTCTATACGACTATGGTTTTATGCGCAACAGTCATAATTATTAGCTAGATATTAACTTATGCTAATTAAACATACTTCATAAGCTTACCTCACAAGACCAATACCATGGGTGGGGGGGGTGTGGGGGGGTTTGTCTGTTGAAGGGTAAAAAAAATCCCCGAACATCCCCCGGCAAAGGTGTAAGGTTTTCGGGCCCCCCCGCCCCCCCCCCCCCCCAAAAAAACCCAAAAAACCCCCCCCCCCCCCCCCCACCTGGGGTGGAACTTCTCATAAACCAACATTTTAATTATTAATTCTCAAAACTGTGTACGCTGTTCATATCAAAAATGACAACTGAATACAAACACCAGTGACACAATTTAATGCAGGGAAAATCTCAAGGAAGCTGGTGTCTAAAAAGAATGAGCTGTAAACAGGTCTTCGTAGGGCTATCAACATGAGACTTCAGTACCTTTAATATATTTTAGTAAAATAAAAAAAACGGTCATGGTCAACTGGAAATTATAACTGACCAGTTTGCTGAAATTACGAAATAAAGTTGATTGCAAATTATCGTATTTATTCATTTCAGCTAAATCTCTGCTCTTTCGTAGAATTTTGGAGTGGGGATTCGATTGAGTTCTTTCATTTTAAAATTAGGCTCATACGTCAAACAGTAGAAGAAAATTATGACAAAGTCAAGATGTTTCAGGTCAGAAAGAACTCAAGAGCCTTCTCGTTAACTCCTCTAAACACTCTAAAAACTGTGAAAACCCTAAGATATGAGCCCAAGGACCGCCGAAACGAATTCTGTGACCTATTCTTTTCGATCACGTTTTCAGTTGCAGGCATGAAATGTAAAATGTTGCAATGTACGTACCTCTTCTTTTAGCAAACAAAACGGGCTTTCACTGAGTGAGTGGACCTCGGCCCCTTCAGCTGTGTCTATGCGTGTATTGACGCATGTATTCACCAACTGAACTGAAGTAAACAGACGTAGGAGAAGACTTTACAGCACGCACAGGCAGCCCAAGGTCGATGCATAATTACTTCTAAATTACTCACGATTTGATAATTTTGCACAACTAACGACATTTAGCTACATTTGATATTATAGCTTAGAAATCCCTCTAGAAATCAGCAGATCAATATTGAAATTTAGGTGTAGGTGTAGAAACAAACTTTGGCCTATGTTTTTGCTGTTTTCTGCGTTATAACCTGGGATCAGTTTATGTCCATTTTCAACTTTTTTTGGCCATAAAATGGAAAGCCTAATTCTGGAAACTGAAAAACTCCATAAAAATAATGAAAAACCACCTCCTAGATTTGTGATTTACACGATCACTGATAAGCTTTGCGTTTCGTTTTTCCTTTGTGTCGTAACCATCAAAAAAAAATTACACTGTGCTTTGGAACAAATTGTTGGTTTTCACATGACGTCACTAAAACTATCAATCCTACCGAGATTCTACTTTCACGATGCATTAGAGCAGCTGAAAACTAATTTTCATACAAATTTTCTCTTTTGGTTTTGTGATAGAGCACGCTTGAATTTCTAAGCTTTTGCGTGACGCGGCATTTACATGATGGCCAAGTGAGATGTCATGTAAGTCAAAAAAGTGACTTATGTCTGGAAATTTTGCTATCTAAACTGTTCATGTATTAGAAAAAGTATTACTTTAATGTTTATGAGTTTCTCGAAGAATAAATTCACGCTTGGCTTTTGTAGCAAAACTCGGTAACAGATTCGTGGAGCTCATCCAGGTGAGCACCCGCATTGCGTCTCCATACAAATCTCTTTAAGTTTGGGTAAAACATTTCTTCGGATATCTCGTATACGAAATATTCCTCTGACCTGAATCTTGGCGAGGGTCTTTGTATATGTCCCTCCTTTCATTTCCTAGATTCTGGACTTTATCTATTGAACGGTTTTGATTTTTATTTTGATCTTTTTTGAATGGCGTGACACTGAAAACCAGCAATAGACTCTAATCAAACGGGTACAGTATTTAATAAAAAAGGGTTATATCAAGACGCCTGAAGAAACCTCAAATAAAGTCATGCATGACAATATTCCTGACAAAAATCGCGTATTTATGATTTAACTGCAACTGTTGAGATATCGCCTCGCGTGTACGGATCATTGATTTCGCGTGACAATTTTTGCCTAATGGTTGACAAGGCCGGTACATATAAATATATATAAAGGTCAAATATTGATATACATCGTACTAGCGGAAGCACAAATCGAAACTGGTTGTCATTTCCCTTTGTTCTAGTTCATCATGTTCGGCAGAAGAGTTCACCTCGTGAAAGCCATAGCTTTTGGGTAAGAATCAAAGCTTTTATCCCTAATACATTGGTAAAATTATAAGCTGGGACAGAAGCCGATTCGTGATTACGGCTCCTTGCTGGGGGAGGTCGATTATCATAGAGATTACAGCAAAAAATATTTATTGTCAACGGGTTCGAAAAGAGATGAGGACCAATGCAAGTGCTAATCTTGTATTGAAAACTACAAACAAGACATATGATTAACAAATAGAAAACAAGGATTGAGATCCAGATTAGAGATGGAAATGGAAGTGATACTTGTACGTTGATAAGAGGTGTTCAGAGAACCGAGGTTTTGCCAGAACACTAGACTGCTTTTCATACCTCAGTAAATATTTACTAATTTCGACTTCAAAAGCCCAATCCACATTTCCTCAACCCTGCCTGCAACCGCTTCGCTTGGCCCCGGCTTTGTAAGCTGATAAAAACATCGGGATTACACCGGGTGGAGCGAAACTTTTAGTTGAGGAGATGAATGGTTTGAGAAACAATATTGCCAATTGTCCACCGTCTCCGTATAAAGTTTGTAACCGGAATACATCAATATTGTGAAACAGCTCGGAAGGACCAAGCATACAAAACAGGAACTTCAACGACACTAACGGAACCAAGGTCAGCTCTAATACCAAAAACACGACCGGCCTATGAAAAACTAACAGATCTGACAACGGCAAGCGAAGAATATACCTAAAATGACATAAAACTCGCGAGCTAAGCGTAAATTCAAGTACAAGTAAAAACAAAAGATCAAAACAGGAAAACAGTACGCGGAGAAATTCAAGAATAACCTAGGCTCTTAGCTTGACCCACTTAATGAAACAAAAGCGAAAAAAAAGATGAGAGGATAGATTTTAAAAACAACTTTCGAAATACTTCACAACAATAGAAAGTAACAGTCATTTTTACAGTAGAGTCTTTGAATAAGCGTATATCGGGTTTACTTCACAATATTAACGGGGAAATAAAAAGAAAGTCGGCTGTCTTTCAAGTTTGATACAATGACCCGGTTGCGTGACCGTCTCCTTTGCATGCGTGACCCCTGACCAAGTGGCTGCCAAGGAGACTAGTTGCGTGAGAGCGTTGCTGTCCGAAATCTACGAAATCCGTCGGATTAACACTAATGCCGCGTTTAACCGTCGCCTGGTCGGCTCAGTTTGGAGAGCGCCGGTCTGCAGAGCAGGAGGTCGCGGGTTCGAACCCTGGCCGGACCAAAACTCAGGGTCTTTATTTAAAATAACTGAGAAGAAAGTACTGCCTTTGTAATGACCGTAGGTCCCGTCTCGCAACACTTACACTTAACCCACACCACTGTTCGAAAAGAGTAGGGGACGTAGACCCCGGTGGTGTGGTCAACCTTCACACATCATTCACATCATGGGCTGGGTGGGTGTAGTAAGCTTATAAATGGATTGACAGCTGCTGTTCATCTTTTATCTGTATTTATTTTTCTTTTATAGCCCCCATCGAAGGTTTGTGTTGCAAACCGAAATATCGGGCAAATATAATTCACCACATCATTTTTGTTTTCTTTCTATATTTTTCTATCACTCTTCCTGCCGTAACGATCAGTTTACTGTTAAGTTTAAAATTTGGATTTTAGTGATCCATGTCTACTAAAGGTCCGGCGGACCCTCACTGGTTTGTCGTTGTGGTTTTGCCTTCACAAGTGTTTCTGCTGCCAGTGGCACCTTTGTAGAGGGTCGTGAAGGGGGTACCAAATCCCAGTTCCCAGCCTAAATTTGGCCCAAATCCCAGTTCCCAGGCTAATTTTTGCCAAAATCCCAGTTACCAAATCTAAAATCCCATTACTAATGATTATTTGCAAAATCATGCGCATAATAAATTAAAAGCACTGATTGACGCTATTTGGATACACGTACCTTCACCTGGACTGAAGAAAATCTCTCATTCTTCTGGTGAACACTCTTTCTCTTCCAGTCCTTGTTGACATAACCATATGAAAACCAATTCTATCATCTGCACAATCCTTGTCTGACTCACCGTCTCCGCTTTCACTGCTAGCTGGTAGCTAGACCGCCGGCGCGAAGGCGAAAAATACTGATTTCACGGTCTCTACTGAGGAGTGCAAGGTCTATTGCTACGAAATTTTATTTTTCTATTTCAAAATATTGGAGCAAAGACCGCTGAAGAAAATAAATCCCGTTCCCATTTTATAATTGTTCATTCCATTCCCAGTGGCTAAATCCCAGTCCCAGTGAGTAAATCCCATTTTCCCAGTCCACAATAAGGCTAATCCCAGTTCCTATTTTACCCCTTCACGACCCTCTTTGTATGCTGACGCCCGAGTTCTGTTGTGAAGCACTGTCATTTTTACTGTTCTTGTAAAGAGGATGCGTCTCTTGTCCTCTCATTCGTGATTCCTCCCCTCCTTTCTTCACTCAGGAGCCCACCAGCTGATTCTCTTTGATCCCGGGACTAATTGATATTCTTTATGTTTATAACATGAAAATAGCAATTGCTGGATCAAGGGAATAGTCTCCAAATGACCTAAAAATTTGAGGGCATGTTTAGGAAAACACTTTGAATAAGGGCTCTCCTAGAGCTATGTTCGTCACTACAGGTCCGGAAAAAAACAAAAACGCGTGTAAAGCTGACCACCGTTTGAACCTTGCTGGAAATTGTTGACGCCCGGGCATTTGTCGTGGCTCGAGTTCCTTATCCATTGATTCAGAAGGTGAAAATACGGTCTGATGCGCGTTGAACAACGGTTGAAATTTTCATGAGGTCTGTTTTTTGATGGAATTTGCTTGTTTGCTTGTTTTGATTATGTTTTATTTCAGCTCGTGACAAAAAGAAGGGATAGTGGAAGATGGAAGTTGAACAAAATGCCCAAGAATCTTACAGACGCGGAGAATACCACCAAAGTATAGAGTACGCAAAACAATGGCGAAACATCTCTAAAGAAACCGGTGATAAAGAGCAAGAAGCCGCAGCCTGCAACATTGCAGCCTTGTCCTGTTATCGTATAGGAGACTACAAACAAAGCATAGCGTATAGCAAACAAGAGTTACAAATTGTGAAGGAAGTGGGAAACAGTGAACGTCAAGCAGCAGCATGTGATGTTACAGCTCGGTCGTATTACTGCGTAGGAGAGTACAGACAAAGTATAGAATACTGCAAGCAAGCGCTGAGTATTGCCAGGGAAGTGGGGGATAAGGAACGGCAAGCAGCGGCTTGTCGTATTTTAGCCTTGTCGTTTTACGAGGTTGGGGACTACATTCAAAGTATACAAAGCAGCAAAGAGGAACTGGCCATTGCAAGGGAAGAGGGAGATAGAGAAAGGGAAGCATCAGTGTGCGATGTCCTGGCCAGGTCTTATCTGCGGATTGGAGAATACAAACAGAGTATTGAGTACGGCAAAAAAGCACTGAGCATTGCCAAGAATGTACGAAATAGGGAAAGAGAAATAGACGCATACATTGTCCTTTCAGGCTCGTATTACGAGGTTGGTGACTATAAACAGAGCGTAGAATGTGGCAAACGAGCCTTGAGCATTGCAAAGGAAGTAGGAAACAGAAAGAGAGAAGCGGAAGCATGCGCTGTTCTAGCCTGGCCGTATTACGAGGTAGGCGGGTACAAACACAGCATAGAATACGGAAAACAAGCACTGCGCATTGCAAAGGAAGTGGGTAACAGGGCGCGGGAAGCCGCCGCGTGCTCTGTTCTGGCTAGGTCATACTACGAGATTGAAGATTACCGACAAAGCATAGAGTATGGAAAACAAGAGCTGGTTCTTGCCAAAGAATTGGCAAACAGGGAAGCAGAAAGAAAATCTTACGATATTTTAGCAAGGTCGTATCGTGGACTTAAAAACGACAAAACAGCTAACGAGTATAGAAAACTCGAAAAGAATTTACAAAAAGGAACTTTAGATGGGAAGTTTCATTCAAGAGATAGCAAAGAAAATGGGGAAGCTGATGCAAATGAATTTCCAATTAATAGTTCTTCAGGTAAAGAGCTTATCATGATCGGTTTTAATATTCCTCTAACTAGAAATAAGTATCTCGCAAACCCTCGCGAGTGAAGTTAGTGGGCATAATGGAGCATTAAGGTGGAGCATTTTAGTAGGGAATAAACAAAAGCATAATGTACAAAGGCCTAGACACCATCCAAATACACTATGGTATAGAAACTCAGACTCGGATTGTTACATAACTTCGTATCTAAAGAAAACCAAAACGTAGGTAAATTAACCTCTTTTTGTCTTTAGTTTCCATTTTTTCGTTCTGTTTAGAGTGACAACTAATAACTGTTTGAAAAACAACAAATACAATAGGTCCTCGTTTGCAAAAGGCCCTGCTAGATCAGAATTCTATTCAATTCAATTCAATTCTTTATTTCACACTATATAAGATATTTACACAGGTGTACGTAGGTAGGAAAATAAGGTAGCTGATAAATAATAATTAACTAAAAAACATTAAGTTCATTTGTGCACAGTGTCCAAAGTATTCTATGAAATATGCAATACCGGTGTTGCCAATTCTTTCTCTGAAAATGTAACTAACTGATATGCCTTCATTCAATAGTTCCAAGCGAGATTGAAGCACGAGGACCAAGAGCAAAGCGTGCCTATGAAAATGCTTTGAAGACAGGAAAAGTAAAGGTGTACCGAGCCCGAATTATGCTGATAGGTCAAGATCGTGCGGGAAAGACAAGTTTGAAGAAGTCCTTCTTAGGTCTGCCATTTGACCCTGAGGAAGAAAGCACAGAAGGAATTGAAGTTGATCCATCTAAATTTGACATTGAAGTTGACCATGTCAAGAAATGGCAACGCACGGATGAAAAGTTCGACGTGTCTTACTTTGTGAACGACATTGCAAGGATGGTGGCAACAGAAATTCAAGAATTGAAGGAAATAGATCGGGATTCAGAACTTCAAAATAATTCAGTGGAGATACACTCTGAAAACAGACAGGTTGGTGGCTTATCAGCGACATCATTTCAAAACTCTCATTTTCGCGCGCTGATTGGTTGAGAACTAAGATCGACGAGAGTATAGGCCCTGAAGACGACGTAATTTTTTTCTCTTTTTGTCGATTTTCCAAGAAACATTACCGGGAATGACGTCAAAACCTGGTAAAAAAAAAATAAATAAATAATTCGATACAACAATTTTCCATGTACATGTAAGGTCTTAAC